GTTTCTGTCGAGTCCCATAGATAGCCCGGAAATGTTTCTACCGAACCAGGACAATTTATAACTTACCCTATGAAATCTTTATCAGATCGTACAAATTTAGAGCAATCTAAATTATTTACACCACATTCTTAGAATTCTGAATCGTTCGCACGTGTTACATATTGATTTTTATGAACTTTTTAGCTTCGTCTGACCAATGGTGTACTTATACTACTTAAGATCATATCTCTTAACAGATCTAATGGTAAAACCAATTGATACTGAACTTGACTAGCTTTTAAATGAAAAATAAGTAAATTAAGCTTAGGAAATGATAATAATATGTAGTATACAAAATGAAATTAAAATTGGGACTCTCTCCATGGTCCGCCATCCGAGGGTTAATAATTTTCATAATATAAAAAAGAATTCTGAAGTTTTATCTTCTTATTTTTGATAAAAATCTATCTGATGTGGTCTTTATTATAATATTCTTACACATAGTGTAATTTCATATTGGGATACAGTGAATCAGGGACCGAACAATTAACGCGCTTAATGTAATTTGTTACGACCACGTAACCAGCATCGCTCCATCATCCGAGTGAAAAGGACGAGAGGAGCGGAACGGTAATTTCCCCCAGCGTAAAATGAATTGCAAATTCGTCAGGTGATATATTCGTGATACAAGGGCAGGTTGATTAGCAATACGTTACGACTGAAATTGAATATTCATACCAGCCATAAATCGAACAGATGAAATTGTATAACACACGTAGATGTAATTTGTTATCTATCTCTTAACCCTTTGATGGGAAAAATTGAAATAGGTCAAGCAGCGTGGACATATCGATGCAGTTATGAAATTTAGAGGGAAAAAAGACGACCTAAATTTTGAAAAATTCCATCAATGACGAAACGCTATAAAAAACATGCGTCACTTTATATCGGAATTTTACGACCATGGAAAAGCATAACCATCGAATATTAATAAAAACATTTCAAAAACGAATATTTCCTGGAACCTTGACATACTATCGTTGTTCGATAATTTCCTGCTACCGCGAGGTTCGCGTGAAATGAAATTAATCGAACACGATGAGTTTTCATGCGATCCTCTATCGGTATTTTTCCGCGAATAAATCTCATGGTACAACGCAAATCAATTTCAAGCTTATTCCATTTAAAATCGATCCGGTTCATTGCGTATAATTCGCTATCGAATCTCGTTTTATATTCGACCTGATCGGCTCTTAATTAACCGGTGGACAACTCGTTTGGTTTAGGATGCAACATCCTACTAATTTAACCATTTTCACTCGTGTGCCGAGGGAGGTTCCATGTTGCGTTTCATTTCAACATTTCTAATGAGTAATTCAAATGAGTATCTCGTCTCGTGGGACCAGCTGAATAACTCGCTTCTTTCTAAGGGAGATAAAATCTAATGTTAATAGTTTATTTGTAAATTGAAGGTCAACATTGTCTTTTCATATAGATCGATTCTTTAGAACATCCTGTGTAAATGCATACGAAGGTCTAATGTTAAAGAAATAAATAGCTTATAAAATATTTTTATTTTATTTTTTTGAAACAGGTCAATAAAATATATTTCAAATTTCAAATATCTAATGAATTGCTCAAGAATGAATAATAATTTATTCACAATTATTAAGGCAATGTCCAACGACGATATCGCCATATGGTGTTCCATCGAACATGTATTACCTTTTAACTGATCCATATTCCTAGCTTCCCGCGAAAATTGAGTATCGTTACCTATTAACACTCCTGGATCTCTATAAATTTTCCAGGGATCTTTAAATTTTCCACGCTATGTAACTTTCATAGCATCGTTTAAATGGATTCTGATGACATTAAGCACCTTTTAAAATTGAAACAATTTATCTTCCACCTGGATAAAATCAAGGTGTCATAATTTATAATTTAATTTTACGATTCAACTATCTCACGATGATCATCGGTTTCGCTTCACAGAATTGAGATCGCTTTCAATATAAAACTATGACGTTAGAAATTAAATTTTTACTCTATTGAAAGTTCATCGATTTATCGGATAGTTAAATCTACGTTACAACAATAATAGACAATAATCACAGTATTCGGAATTAATCTACGATCGTTGAAGTAATTGAATCGTGAGAAAAGGCAGAGGAAAAAAACGGGAAGGAGAAATGGACCGACTGTCTGCAGAATCGGCGACCAGCTGAATCAAATGTTCAATTTCAAAGTTGATTATCGAACATTTCCAATCAAACCGAGTCGCTTATATCGGAAATCGAAACGGTATCCAGGCTGGGATCAAAGAGTACAGCCAGGAAGGCGAACGATCTGATGCCAATCTTTTGCACTGTTGCTCTTTCTCGGAAGAGAAATTGATTTTCTATGTTGGTGATTGGTTCCGGGACTCCCTTTGTAAAGTTTTGTCCCACTGAGCCTAAAAAAAGAAACCGGAAATTCGTGGACAATGACAGAGGAAGAAAGCACGTTGATCCTGGAGATGAAAATATTCGTGTTTAAAAAGGATATCAGTACTTTTTTCGCAACTTTCAAAAAATTAATAGTTATCCAATTTCCATGTTGAAAAATAATACTTCGAATCTGTCCAATATCTAAGACTTTAAATTGAAAAAATTGAAAAGATTCATAAGTAATCTTTTGCTGTAATCGCGAAGGTTAACGGAGGACTAACTTCTAGTCTAATTCGCGTAATTTTTCCACGCTTCAACGAGGACGTTAAGCATCGTACCCTGCGAGAATATTCCATCAAAGACTTTGAATGAAGCTGCAGCTGATAAAAATGCACCGGTAGCGAAACAAAAGGCGATCTAATAGACCATTAGCCATGCCAGAGTGCATGGTTCACTCGATCGGGTAAGCGCTCTGCGTCATTCGAATAACGAAATCAGAGACGCGAAAACGACCCACATCCGCGAATGCCGTTTTTCTTCGCGTAAAACAAGAACAGGAAATTCGCTAAGTGAACGAGGAAGAAATTGCAGAATTTTCAGGAACTAAGGGTATCGAACTCGGATGATTTCCGCTCAAGCCGGAAATCGAGGACGAACGAATTAACCCTTAAACGGTGGATCCTGGGTCAATCGTGACTGAAACTTCCGAAAAGGTTTCATATGTTGGAAGAATAATTTTAATATTAGGTCTCTCTCCATGGTCCGCTGTCCGAGGGTTAAAAGTGTCTTATCGCGTGAACAATTTCTTTTGATATTTTTCTCGAAGATAGCCTGACATTAGCAATCCTAGGACGATATTAAAAAGACATTAGTTTCAAAGGCTTCATTGTCTCCGTGGGTATAATGGGTTTCTCGGAAAACTTGTTGGAGGATATTTTAAAAAGTTGCTTCCCTTCGAACGATTTATGGCGACACTTTTTTTTTCTTTATTCTTCTTCCTATTCTATTTTCCTTGCGCAAGGTGTTGAAGTAATGCGAAATCATCGATGGATAACTATTTTCATCTAGGATGGTATATTACAAAGTTGATAGGAAAATTAAAGGAGAATTATTCTCCGGGTTAAAAAATCCCTTGGAAAACTTAATCTATAAAATCTGGAAAAATTTCCTGGAAATTCTAGATAAAACTTGGTGGCTGTGGAAACGAAGGGAGAAAGGAGGCTGTCTTAAATTCGATCGATGGCAAAGAGGCCAGCGTCACCGGGCAAATCGTTATTGAACCGACGAGAGGATTACGTAAATTACCGAAAACGACAGCTGTAGGAGGGAAAGAGATAAGAAGAACGAAATCGGGATCGAAATTACGAGACAGGTGGCGGAAATGCTGGTCGCTTGTAAAAACTCCTACGATCGAATCGTCTTTTACCGACGTCAGTCGTCTTCGAAAGAAACGATCACGACGTTATATAACTCAGTGTCCACGTGAAAATTATCTTTTTATTTGCTGCTTTAATACCTCATCAACAGTGGCTGAAACGATTGCCAATATCGTTCCAAGACCTGAAGTATGATTAAAGATACTCTTACAAAAGAAATTCCTACGCTTTTGTTTTGCGCATCTGGGATGCAATATTTTTTTTAAATTTTCCAAAATACAAAGTGATATTCGTTATACTTTCATCTCGTTGTTCCTCTGTTTTCATTCAAAATTTCATCCATTTATTCCAACGATGGTCCACCCATCGCGAACAGTGTTAAATAATCATCATCCTCGACGAGGAATGTCGAAGCTTCATTTCAATTTCCAAATATGAGAGAAGCTGGTATTTAATGGACGAACAGGAGGAGAGAACATTCCCAAACGTAGGTGCATTTTCCCACGGTTGAATTAATGAAACGTTTCCATGGTTCGGGAGAAAATAAGGAACTTCCGGTTGCTGGGAAATCGCTCGTTCGTTGATTTTGATAAGCTCGAAATCCTCTGAACGGTTAACGCAACCGCTGGTCATTTGTCCGTGGAAACGTTAACACCGTTCACATCCGAATTGCAAATTCCTGATAATGGAAGACGTGCGGCTGAATATAAACCAGCGCTCTGCCACCTTTGTGCACGCGAACTTCGCGTTTCTTTAACGACGGTGCGAATCGTTGCCCCTCAAGATTAGGCAAACCTGTTGGGTGATTGTTGAAAACAGAATCATTTGAGTAAAATTGTTTTTCGTTAGAAAAGAATTACACTAAAATATTCGGTTCTAGGGACACTCTCCATGGTCCGCCGTTCGAGGATTCAAACAATTCTCGTTATTCATCTTTTAATCTCAGGACAGAAAATCCGTATTAAAGGAAATAAATAACGATGTCGGAGTACAAATGAGAACATGCTGCACAGATTAACTGTGTAGGTAGAAGCACTGCAATTACAGTATCCGGAAAGTCATTCCCCAAGATACTAAACGCGTTCACCAAGTTCGATAAACATGCCTTGCTAACAGCTGTTGCGCGTAATCACCTAGCATCCTTGATTTATCGAACGGTAAAAAACGTTTTCGTTAGAGGACGGTAATTGTAACGAATCCCGATGTTTGTTTTCAGGCAAGTTGGAGGCAAAGGTGAGGAGGCTGGTCAAACGGTGAAACATTGAATGAAGAAAACGTGCCAAGGTTGAACGCGTTATCGAAATCGAAGAATTTCCGGCTTCCAATCCGACGAGCAAACGTTTGTCTTAAACAGCTGCTCGTTTTACGTGGAATTTATCCTCGATTGAAATAGAAGATACACGGGAGGTCGAATTTTACTATGGCACTGGGCGACCCTTGTAGAAATACGAAAGGTGCGGAAAATTTAGTAAATGTTCTAATTACTAGTTAATTAACAGGAAACGATCAATGTCGTTTTGCAGAACGTTTTCTCATCGACGTGAGAAAGGATCGCGTGGTACGTCGAAATTACCAGGCTACCGTCGACTAATTGCAATTTCACGGAGTTTCCGTCACCCTGGTCGGACGCGTCATGTCGTCCTACGAGGGACACGTTTACGAGCGGAATCTTACTTGAATACGTCAGTGGCAAAGGGGAAACACGGGGCTTTGGTTGCTTGGAAATTAAAATGTCAACGCCCGCCACGGACCCACTGCCGTCCACCGTTTCCGGGGAATTGACGACCACTCTCATACCGACGGTTACCAAAATCGATACGCGGCTGGACGCGAATCCTATATCGGTCGTTTTGGCGGTGTCGATAGTCTGCATTTTATCACCAATCACCGTCACCGGAAACTCGATCATCTTGGCCGCCTTCTATAGGTACAAGAGGCTCAGGACTGCATCCAATTACTTGCTGGTCTCTTTGGCAGTCAGCGATTTTGGGGTAAGTATTTTTATATACCCTCTGAATTTCTTTCATTCGAAAAATAAAAATCCTTTCGATATAACGTTTTCGAAGATATTTCTTCATCGATCATCCTCGTGATTGATTCTTTTCTGGAGAAACCTTAGGGGATTGATTGGGACCCCATCGAGATTGGGGTGTTATGTTGCTCCTCGAGATTGATCGTCTAATAGAATATTTTAATTAATCAGCTAATCGATCAAAAGAGTAGAAGTGATTCTTCCTTATCAATGAGAAATTCTTCAAATATCTTGCTTCGAACATCTGTGACGTTTTGTTAATCTTACATATGCAGATATCGTGTTATTTTTAAAACAGGTCGGAGTTTTCATGCCGTTTGGGATGCAGCTCGAGTTATCTGGTCTACCGGAAAATGGCGTATCCACGTTGTGCATCATACCGTACTGCATTGTCATTGCACTATGCAGTGTGAGCGTGTTGGTGACGGTAGCGATCGCCGTGGATCGGTTGACTTCGTTGGCACAACCCCTCAGGTACAAGAACATCATCACTCACAGCAGCATTGAGAAATACATCGCCGTGTTCTGGATCTACGCGATCGCTGTTGGCCTCTCGCCTTTGATCTACGCCGAACTGACCGGTGAAACCGATCAGCACACGTGAGTCTAATTTAAACCCTAATTTTTTCATTTTTTTTGGGGGGTAAATTAGAAAAAAAATAAAAATTAAATTTTACAGAAACTCTTTTTTCTTTCCATTTTCCCTAGAACATACTAGAATCTTTCCTAAGATAACAGGAATATTAAATTCAGGGACACGTACCGCATGTATCTTCCTCGATTCTCTACGATAACTAAAGTCTATTCAACAAACATTTCGAAAATTGTTAAAATCAAATTGCTCGGTAGTCACGTTCCTCAAACAGAGATAAAACGAACGAATCGAAGAACGAAACTAAGCAATAGCTGGTTCCGATTCGGAAGATATCCTCTTATATTTTATCTGTGATAAAGTATATCAGTTTCTTCCTTTCTTCTGAATTAAATCGAACAAGGAAAATCAGCTTCCTCGATCCGTTTAATTGAAGAGAAAAATCTGGTTTGATTTTCACTTATCCTATTGATCATGCATGGTTACATGACTGGCATCGAATAACAAGCTCTCTGGTTTGGACACGTGTTGCGTTCGCGTAAATGTAACAAGCATGATCTAATCTCTTTATATCCATCAAACATCAAACGTTGCATAGTCAAGTTTACGTAACTCGGACGTTTAGCAGACAATCGCAAAACACGGAAACAGAATTACCATGGACGAAGGTTTATTGTATTATGTAAAGGTGCGTGCAGTTTGATAGCGAGAACCTTCCACTGTCATTAGAACCCGATAAAAAGGAGCCCCAAGTCGTCGTAGCTCGATAAACCGACCCTCGAATGACGAGACTTAGCGACCGTAACCATTGGATCGTAAAACTAGATGACAGTTCCTAAGCCCAACTTTCCGAATCATAGAATTCAATCATAACCGTTTCCAGCCTTGGTAATAACAGTTTCCTAGTCATAAAGTTAATCGAAGGGATTTCATTCCCCTTCGTTTAAAAAAAAAATGAAATATCTTCTCAAAAATGGTACAGTTGCGATAAGGGTAACAATGGAGAAAATATTAAAATCAGTGAGAAATTGAAATGGCGGTAGTACATGTGGCAGGAATTAATGGACGCGTGCAACGTAGAATCGAATTAATTAGACGTTACCGAGATCGTGGTTGTTGCATAACGAAACCGACTAACGAGCGGTACTAATTTCCTTTCTGTTGCAGTGGCAATTGTAGATTCGGCGCGGCGGTGCTACCACCTGTGAGGGTGTTCCTGGTGGTTGCAGTATGGGCGCCCAGTGCACTCGTCCTTCTCGGTTGTTACATGTACGTGTACCTGGTGGCACGTGCACACGCGCGTGCCATTTATACCGTGGAACTGTCGTTCAGGCATCAAACGCAGACCCTGCCATTGCCACGTTACGGCCAAACCTTGGCTGTCACAGTGGGGGCGTTCCTTATCCTCTGGCTTCCCTTCCAGGTGAGTTGATTTTATAATTGTGGATTACTATAGCTTATGCCAGGACCATTCGTGTATTTACCCTTGTTACAATGTCAGAAATTTACTTAAGGGATTAGACAACCTTAATCCTACGACGGCGGACCATGGAGAGAGCCCCAATCATCATTTAATTTTGTAGTTTATATTATTTTCCTTTGAAAATTATATTTCCGAGTGACAAAAACAACTTTAATAGTATGTAACAATGTTATTTAGTTTAATATGCAAAGACTTTCATGAACGGAAGTTAACATTCTTCATTCAGTTTTCTTAAATATCCTCCTAATTAAATATACTAATAATTTTTTTAAACTATTTAGATTCTTTAGATTATTTTTTTAATTAATATATATATATATATACATATATAAACAAATCACATCTATATCTTAAATAAATTATTGCATATTTATTAAATTATTTAAAATTAATTTTAAAATTGTCCCATCGTTAATAAAATAGAAGCATAAACTTTGTTATGAAAATACTGCAAGTTCAACATTTATATACATTAGAAAAATAATAGCCTCATATGAAACATAGACCACAGTGAGTAAACTCTTTTATGTACCTACTAGCGCGTTTTAACTTTGTCTGACTATTGTTACGCTTGCACTACTAGCACGTCGGACGTATGCTACATCCATTCTACTTTTTTCCTCTCTGATATAAAATGTAACAATGACGCGACATGCATACTGAAACCGTATATGGCCACCTTCTCAGACTATATTTCTTATGATACTACATATATAAAGAGGACAGAAACATTTTATGGGAACAAATGGCTTACACGCACCATGAAAGATTCTAAAAAAGATAATTGAAAATTGTTACATGATTTTATTTATGTTTTTAACGGTTGCTTTTGCAATCAATCATTTCCTTCATTCTAGTATAAACAAAATGAATATTAAATCATTTCATATTAAAATTAATCATTAAATATTGCCTTTGAACTCTAGTTCTACTTCAACAAATATAAATAACACTGTTACGCTCAAACAATTAAAAGGTTGTTTCAGTTTAATTAAAATTTCAATTGGATTCGAACATGAATAATCGAATGATAATTTTGTTCGATTTTGTTTTCAAACAAAGGAATAGAAACTAGAGGTTACATAAAATATAAAATCACGAGCAGAATAATATTTTATGCACCTACTGAGATAAGAATGATAAATTTAGTTTAGAAAAGCTGAGCTCGTTGGTAACCGATTTGATACTGTCAGAATCGAAGCGATGACGAGATTTTCAAGACGCGTCCTTATCCATCCTCGTCGGGGGGAAAGTTTCGCGAAACCGGAGGGTGAAAAACGACGTAACTTTCAAAATTACGGTAGGGAAGAAGTTGTCGCGAAACCGGATGTTCTCTAACGGAGCAGTGTAGAAAGAAGTCGAGCTTCGAGGAAACTCGTGGAAAAGCTTTTCTCTCTTTGCTTTCCCGGAAAAACTTGGCGACGACGACAATTACAAACAATTTCCTTGTATCGCAAACGAACGGACACGGGTTAATTGATTCTTTAACGTACCAATTAATTTTACAGAGATCAACTGTGACAAATTATTAAATAATAATAATTAAATTTCCATCACCGTAACATTCCCTACTATTTGCAATTATGTTCATACATTTATAATGTTTATTTCGACCTATTTTCCCAGTTTCCAGCGATACAAATATTCTGTATCAAGCTTCATTTCCATTCAAAATAATTTAGCTGGCCTACTTACTTTCAATCAAAGATTTCATGATTTCTCAATTATTTTATTTCAGGCTATTAGAAACTTTTTCAAAAATCATGAATATTATCGTGGATTGTCGTTGTTAAAATTTTCCACTCCCGTACTTGTTACATCGTATTAATTTACCGGTATTCCCTCGAAAGGACAAATTCTGTATCACGATATCCACCACCATAATTTACATGCGAATACACACATCGAAACTTGAAAGGGGTAGTATTTCCATCCGTGAAAGGAATTAGGTGTCTTGGTTCGGTTGTCTGCATCAAAGGAGATTCATAACCCTCGACTCGACCATTTCCATGTTTCGTGCCAGGATGAAAACAACCGAATGCCAAATGCACATAGATTTTGGTCTCGTGTTCGTACCACAAACGTTCATTAACTGGAAGTTAAGACAAATAGATGATGTCCTAGAGTACATATTACTCTGACGCGTATATAACGATTCCTCTGTATACATCGCTTCGAATCAGCCACGTGGATGAATCGAAGGAGACAGAATTATCTACTGACATTGACAATTTATTATTGAATATGAACGATTTTTTAATATTATTCTACAAAAGTAGGAGGAAATCCCTCTAACAGGTGACAAATTTTTGTTACAGACTTGCATGCTGTTGGATATTTTCTGCGGTACCAATATCCTCTCCGAATGGACAGTGGTGTGGCTCGGTCTACCCATCATGGCTCACAGCGGCGTAAACCCGTGGATTTATGCTTTCCATCACGGTGAAATGAGAGTGGCGGCAGGAAAAATCACCGAGGAGTTGGTCGCGTTGTTCGGCGTGACGCCCAGTCGTTACGGTTGCTCCCCGATGAGGCGGGGCTCGAACACCAACATGGAATTAGCCGAAGTGAATAACAGCAACGAGGCTAGACGGCATCCCGTGGAGGATTGTTTCGCCGCCAAGCAAAACAGCAATTTATACGCGAGTAGAAGATGCCTCGAGGTATCCGCCAGACACACCGACATCTCTCCGGAGAGAAACGTCGATCGTACATCGTCGAGTAGCAAACAAGAGGACATCGTCGAAGAAGACATCCACGATTTGACGAAAATGTTGGATCTAAAGTATATAATCGATCGGAATCACATGATCGATTCGAATCACAATATAGATAAGATCAAGAACATCAAGTACCTGTTGGATCCGACGTTCAACAAGATCAGACACCTGAGAAGGTTGAATCACAAGAGGCTAACGAGTAAAAATTTCTCGAATCCATCCGAACCAAAGTTCACCTCTTATCAAAATTTGAAGACCGATGGTACCTTGAAGGCTACTCAGATGAACACCATGTCGGATCCAGTGTTAAGCGCCGATAGTCCTCTGATGCATACCAAAGAATTTAACGACACCCTGAGTCCTGTGGCCAGCAAACGAAGAAACTCGAATCTCTGCTCCATGTCAGATTCTAATATCAAAGCAGCGACCGGTCTCTCTTCCGAAGTAACTCTAAGACTCCCAAGCGATCGAAACGTGACGGATACTCATAGATATTCCGTTCAGAACTTGGATCACAGCAGATGCGAAGGTGGATTGGCTAAACACGTTATGTTGTCCAGACAGTTGGAAAGTCATAAGAGGTTCCAGATACATCCACGTCCCCGAGTGAAGATCAATAATAGCTTCGATCGAACTAGTCCAAACTTGAATTTGAGGCTTCAGAATAGTTACACGTCGCCGTCAACGCCGGACAGCGCGAGGTCCAGTCTATTGAACAGTCCGAGACAGAAGACATCGCCTAAACACATGACGATCATCTCGAACAAATTAGCTAATCTCGTTAATACCACGGAATCGAGAGCGGATCCTTCCATGGTGTTGCAGATCAGAAGAAACATGGAGATACTGAAACATTCCGAATCGATCAATACCATCGAACCGATGAGCCACCTGAGGCTGTTGGAACCTTACAAAATAATGGAAACTCTGGCTGTACCCGCGATACACTCGGAACCACCGAGTCCTATCGATCCTCTTCCTCTAGCCTCGCTGGAGGAGGAGGACGCGAGGAACACGGAAACGTCGAAGCCTTCCGTTAATATAGATCGCTCGAAATCCCCGTTGGGCAACAGGAGGAGTCCGGTTAGACACTCGGATCCTGTGATACCATCCGTCTTGCTAAACATCGAGGATTTCAGCGAGGAAAACGAACACACCAAAGATAAATCTAGTCACGAGACCTCCTCGAACAATGTAACCCCCCCGGGTCAGCTAGCATCGATGGAGCCTATAGATCTATTCGAGGCTCTATTGAAGAACTCCGAGAGATGCAGAGAAGGAAGACTACCGGAACCGATCTTCACCGAACACGATTCAACGAGATTCAGCTCCAGAAGACCGTCGGACTCGAAATGGTCCGAGTCGTCGAGAAGTCAGGAAGTGTTGTCAAACGTGGTGACGGATCATCAATCGTTTCCCTGCTCGTACTCCGTGAACAATTTCCAAGTGTGTAACAGTGGCAGCGACCTGAACGATCTCACTTCCTTGGATCCTTTCATGTGTCCCGACGCGTTGACCTCGTCCTTGAGAGAGTCCTTCTTCAGCGCACCTTCCGTACCTGATTCCGAGATATTCACGTCGTTCGAGGAGAACGACGAGTCCATATTAACGCCGGACTCCGAACGAGACACGTCGTCACCGTACGATTCGACGTCGACGATCAACCCGAAGAGGTCGACCATCGAGGCTGAGCTGCAGAGTAAATCTACGGAGGCTGTGTTTCGTAACAGATGCCTGTCGACCAGGTCTTGCATCTTGCGATTAGAACCGTCCTTACATCGAAGTAGGTTGAGAGTCAAGACGGGGGCGGATTATATCCTGAAGGACACGTCCATGAAGAAGAACCCACGCTTGGCACCACTGGCTATTCCTACGCCAACCGAAATTTGTACACCCACCTTCGAGTTTGTATCGGAGATCAAAGGTGACAATGGTGTCGGTGTTCGGGTGTAGAATTCTGGATCGAGTCTGAAGGGTTTATTTAACGGGGATGATGGAATCCTCTAAAGGACTGGTTCGTTGAACTCTTTTTAGCATGTAACTCGTTGTATTTAAAGTGATACGATTACGTCGCGTCTGTATTTTTATATAACAGTTCGAGAGCCTGCTGAAGAAATTGCTCTGTCTATCCTGTTTAACCCTTTCGCTGCTAAGGGTTACCTGGAACTCCCCATTGTTTCGTGATACTTGATACTTGGAAACATATTTGCGACGTTACCTTATTGCAAATATAGGTTTACGAAGGATATCGTTTTATTTATGTTGACGCGTTAAAAATGTTTATCAACGGAAGCATAGCGAAAGGGTTAAGGGAACGTACTGAGATAAAAAAAAGAATCATAGGTTAACGTGAAACGATGGAAGCGAATCTTCAAGTTGGACTGTGATAGTACGACGTGTCTTTAGCGGGATTATAGAACAATCGCGTAAGAAAGGAAACTGTATAATGGTAGCTTTAACGATAATTAATCATTTGACTCCTGCAGAACAGTTATTCACGAACGAAGGAATTTTCAGAATAAGCGTTTACTAATTTACAACTTGATTAATGCGTTTAGTATCAACGTTCAGATAGAAATTTATTCATGATAGATCACTTTCTTTTTTTATTAGAAAATAATATCTATTATTACAGATCATGCATCTCGTAAGATTATATGACAAATTTAATTAATTACAAACAAGGGTGTTATCCTTCTAATTAAAAATTTGTTTTCATCTAGAATAATTAAAATTCTGAGGAGTCTTAGGATCAACATCGTAGTATAAGTTTGTATTGGTACACTTGATACGATATAAATGAAAAATTCATATTGCCAGGGAAGAAACGATGACAAGTGTAAATGATTAAGTTGATCCTCGGAGGGCGGACCATGGAGAGAGCCTCAATTTTCATTTTCTAAACTTTACATTGTTCTTTTAACAATTATTCTTGCATATCCTTGAGTATGTTCTGTAAGTTTGGATCTCGATTGACCCAGATTCCGCTATTTAAAGGTTAATCGTTTTACTGGCACAGTGTACTCGCTATTGAAAACGTTGAATATATCGAGATAGCCCGATTTTTATTTACATATGATTGCCTAAATTGTATTTAGGAGAGTTTGTAAGGAGTTTTTAGTCTATTCCGAGGCTTTGGAACGAATTACGCAGGATATTTCCTGAGAAAAACAGAACAAAGGTAGTAAATTATGGACTACAGCTTGTGTACCTGATTAAACTTGATAATTTGCAAGCGAACAAAGTTTTCTCGTGATCTCAGAGATGACGTACAATCCACGTACGCGGATGAAAAATTAAGGAAACGATTACAAATGGTACTTGTTTTTGCACAACCAACGAAATCTGTCCTTTGGATTTTCTCAGTTATGTTCTACTCTTTCATTTCTAGTCACGATCGATCGCGTAACCATATCCATTTTAATTTAACGCACACGACAAACTTCGTAATGGACTACCGGTCGCATAGTGATAAAACCTACCAAAAAATATGGCAAAAAATGAAGAATGCTTTTGGAATAAAAATATTCGTCCAAAGAAATGAAGAAATGTGATAAAGATAAAAATTTATTTATTTAATCATTATTATCCCCTTATTTAAAAATTATGAATCAGTATTTTATGTATAATTTGAAGTATGTTGTTCCATTTAAAAAGATCAATGGGTTTATTACAATTTTCATAGCAAATCTGTAATCCCAGCAAAAATTAAAGGGTAGTTACAAATGGCTAAGAAAATTTTTAATTTACTTTTAGCTTCCAGACAAACGCAATTCTACGTATGAATTAATTTCTGCTGGAATGTTTACTTGTCAATTTAAAAGAACATTAATCGCTTGTATTTTTACTCGACTACAACTGGTTTAATTAAGCATGGATGAATGAATAAACGTTTCGCGAAACGGGTTTTCGCGAATTCATTTTTGTCGCATTTTCAATGTTTTTCACCACTTTCTTTCGCGGAAAAACGAAATCAATTTCATCCTCGATTTTCGAAAAATCAACGTTTCGAGGCAGTACACTAACTCATTCAATTTCTTCGGGATAATTGTGTAAAGATTGTAGATATTTGTAGGATAAAATTAATGACGGAGAATTGTTGTTCCAACATTATGTCTTCTTCGACGAATAGTCGGATCATTATAGATTATGCGAGATGTAATTTATTTAAATGAATTATATAGTAGAGGGAACGTAAGGACCAAAAATTTTCAATATAATGAGCTCTAATTCGCGTCGTTAGTCCTCGACTCGTAGCACGTAATTAATTACTGTTCTTTTATAATACCTCGGTGATCTAATTCAGATACCGATTGTCTGACTTATGAAATTGTTCCACGGACAGATTCTCTCAGAAGTCTCTAATTTTTTATATCGCATCGCTGTAAAAGTCGCTTGGCTAGTTACAGGATTCCTAACAACTGTCACGGGACTCGCATATGTTTGTCCCTTAAAAATCACTGAATGCCAATTAAATGTTGAAAACTACTTTTATACATAGATTCGTGAGGCGAACTTATTTTCGTCATACATCTACGGTATTTTTTAGTACGTGTGCGCGTATCATTTACCAAACTCAAACAGTACTATATAATATAAATGATCTTTCGAAATCATTCATTAACCATTCGAAGAGAGTTTGTAATTTGTATTTTCTCCTGGATATCGTTAAAATTGTTCTTCAAAATCGAACGCCACCTACCTGAAAATAAACGCTTTACCCACTGTGTTAACGACTGTAAACGATGTACAATCAATTTATTAATTATATGTACGATAATAAATGAAAAACACAGGTTTCGTATTTTAATTCCTTACAGGCGATTCGTTTCTACGACGTGTCTTCCATTCGTATAAATCATGGAGGAACAGAAATATATATAAAAAAAAAAAATATCTCTGTTTATTCTTGCGCGTTCGACGTTGTGTTATGATTTACAGCGCTTTATGGTATACCCGAAGCTAGGCTTCTGTACAAAGAAGAACTAACGTTTGTCAGAGCGAGAGGTACTGATATATTTTTATGAAAATAGTATTTTATTGTTCTTTGTAGATATCGAAATGTTCAAATAAAAACATCGTAACTTATAGTTTAACGTAACACTATTCCGTTTCATCGTTTAATTGAAAGAATGTACATACAATGATACACGAATCAAACCAACCCCCTTATGATATGTGTGAAATAAAAAATAAATTTTGTATTACAGAGTTGGATGCAATGTTTACTCTTAATGCGTGAAATAACAAATGATTATTTTTAATTTTTCAAATTATTGGAAATTATTATTTATAAAGATAGCAATGCAGGGTGTTCGACGATAGGTGGAAAAATTTTAGGAAATCACTCTGGGAGTCAAAATAAGACGAAAGTCAAAAATGATAAAATAGTGTTTGTGGCTTTGTTTATTAGTTTAGTTATTAATATTAAAAGATCCGAGTACAAAGCGCCTGCAACCGGTAACCTGCGCAGCACCGACGATGGAACGCAGTATCAGTAGGGGCATGTACAGTCAGTGCCAATAGTCGTTGAATAGACTATTGTCTATGACTGTACACGCCCCTACTGATTCCGCGTTCAATTACCGGTGCTGTACAGGTTGCCGATTGTAGGCGCTTTTCACTCGAATTTTTTAACGTTAATAATTAACAATCAAAACCGTGAACGCTACTTCATCATTCTTGATTATCATTTTATTTTGACCTCCAGAATGAACTCCTAAAATTTTTCCACTTGTTGTCGAACACTTGATACCGTCGAAAACTTTACCGACAGACCCTAGAAAAATCCCTAGAAACGAGTTTTCAAATTACGGCGTCATTTCTAAACAAAATGTAAACAAATTTGAGGGACATGTTCAGGAGGCCCTAAAGAATGGTAGTCTGGTCCTTATATTATCCAAATCGTCCAAAAGTTATAAAATATTGAAATTTATATCTGTCAATCGTCAAGAAAATGGCGGATCAGCTCACCTGCATCAATTTATTCGTAATATAAACATTTCTATGAATCGTGTGTCCAAATGGGTACCAGACTACCATTCTTTGGGTCAGATAGAACAAAACGAGCACCCAAGAGATGATGTACAAGCCTCTAGGTAGTCTAGGTAGAAGAAATTTGAAAACCATGATTTCGTTGATTGTTCACTCGCGAAAGACGTCAACAAGGTAAAACAGACCACAAATTTACTTCCTCGTTTATTCTATAGGGTGCAGTTCGTTCGTTTTCTGCGCTCGACCGCGCGCTCATTTGCAGCTCGTATATTTGAATATGTGTACGTTGACCGAACCGTCGACGACGACACAATGTATCGTGGAAAATTAGCAATTTTTGAGTGATTATCCTTGTAGATTCGAGCCGCCGCCCCTATAAGGAATTAATTAGTGACTGGATTCTTACAAAACCTATATTAAAAAGTCGCTACAAGTATGTAGATTAAAAATCAATCATAAAAATTCATAAATTATTCCTAGGTAAGTCCATTTTTGCCGGTAATCTCACCTCGCTGCATTACCCGTGTCTACCCCCTTAATATTGTATAAAAATTAAAATTTACTGCATATCCGTGTATAAAAGTTATAAAAATAATAAATTTCAATAGATATAACAATAATTTAATTAACAAACAATTGTAAAATTATAAATAGTAATTAAATAAATTTGAATAGAATAATCAAACAAAATTTTACAATATACTCACGCGAAAATTAAAGAAATAAACAATAATTTGATTAATAAACAATTGTAAAATTAAAAATAATAATTAAATAATTTTTAATAGAATAACTAAACAAAATTTTGCAATATACCCACGCGGAAATGTAAAGAAATAAACAATTTAAATAGATATAACAATAATTTGATTAATAAACAATTGTAAAATATAAAATAATAATTAAACAAATATTAACAAATATCAGATAGAAATAGTTAAATCTGCGGAACCGGTGAAGCGGAACGTCATGCTTGATTGCGCGCGCCGCGCGCCGGTACATGCGCGACCTGGAGAGAGGTCAAATCTAATCAGTCTTATCGCGACCGCTGAAGGATACAGATGGATCTGTCAAACATATACCGGTACGGGTTGATACCATGGATATTCGTGCATGGATTTATCACAAGTGTTACTGTGTTTGCCTATAGTGTTTCCTATAGTGTTTCCCATGTGTTTTGGAATATTTATACGGATATATTAGTTCGTTTTATGGTGTGGAACCCCATGTACCTGCATGTGCTTTATTGTGTTTTATGGTGTGGTACCGCATGTACCTGCATGTACCTGCATGTGCTTTATTGTGTTTTATGGTGTGGTTCCCTATGTGCTTTGGCATATTTTTATGGATTTATTAGTAGGTTTTATGTAGTGGTACCCTATGTGTTTTGGCATATTTATACGGATTTATTAGTGGGTTTTATGGAGTAGTACCCTATGTGTTTTACTACAATTTTGCAAATATTTTATGGTGTTCTATGGTTTTGATCTTCATGTGTTTTGGGATGTATTTATTTGCATGTGTTTTATCGTATTTTATGATTTAGTTATTCCCATATAGTTTTGCATGCATATTTTTAAATTATAGTATGTATTAGCATATTAACTACAACAAATTGAGAAAAAACATATATCGTTCAAGAATCGTGATTTTTATGCTTCCAGATGAGTGCTTTGGCCAGTGGGGGTACCGTTTCTTTGACGAGCCAACAGTCGAGCTATGAATCAATCTAAGATGCGTGGCGAGTGCAGTGGTGCAAGTCAACGATCGGTGAGTCGCATGCTTTAAAGTTCCTCCGGTTCCCATCATGTCGTAGGACGAATGGTCCGTAGCGTCACGGGAATTGGTTGTAATTTTTATTTTTTGAGCGAGCATAGTGACCCACGAATATCACTGTATCATTTTATACAATGATAATCGTGCAAATTGCTTTTTTGTGCATTTTATGTCTTAGCTCAGGATAGGGTTTTCTTGTACATATTTACATATATAAATTCCGAGTTTAAAAATGTAGAGAAGTCGGATGACCCTCCGACTTCACAATACACATTCTTTTTTATATGTACAAGAATTTATTTCGCGATGAGCGGATTTCAATATCAAAGTAATAAGCATGAATACGATTAATTATTACAACTACTTACTTTGATAACGAAATCGCTCTTGAAATTGAAACGTTTTTCCAATTTTACTCGTGAAATTGGCATCAGTTGAGTATATGGGCTGGCCCCCGGGGGGTCGGTATTTGCTCTTCAAGCATTGTATAAAGTTCCCCTTTCGTACTTGAAATTCATTCTGTCACGTTCACGGTTCTCGACCCTAAACACTCATCATTCGCACTTCAGCCTCACGAACTCTATCACTTAATCATTTATCCACCTGCATACCTTTGTGTAGTGAAATATTACCCCGTTAGGATCTTCAAGTATAAGTAGTGTTGCGAAAAATTTTCAACGCGAGAATAAATATTACCCCGTTAGGATTTTCATGTTTAAGTAGTGTTGCGAAAAATTTTAAACGAGAGAGTAAATATTACCCTGTTAGAATTTTCAAGTTTAAGTAGTGTTGCGAAAAATTTTCAACACGAGGGTAAATATTACCCTGTTAGAATTTTCAAGTTTAAGTAGTGTTGCGAAAAATTTCCGGCGCGAGAGTAAATATGACTATACACTGACTAGTATTCGGTGGGAATTCTTTTGGTTTTTATTTGATAAAATTAGTTACAAGGATTCCGCGGCATAAGACCGTGAAACACCATCTCATGGGAGATAAACCCATGCATTACTAGGCCTTTGCAGGCGCAGCTTTAGAATACGGAACATATGAAAATATGTTACCATATTCTAAACTGTAGTCCTTTTGTCTATACTATGGGCGTCCGTCAATCTGACACCGTTGGATGCAACGTGTTGGACGGGCGGGTAGCGCTCTTAGCGAAGGGGTGCACTCTGTCCTGGCGTTACGACGTCCAGGCGGGGTGGGTGGTATGTAGCGTCGGGCGCAAGTCCAGGGGGCCTAAGAACCTCCGTTGCCAACTGATATTAGCAGTGCACCATGTTTTATGTCATAGTTGCTCAATTTTGCTCTTCTGTATTTGCTCTTCAAGCTTTATATTTGCAAAGTCGAGTCACTTTTATTAAAAATAAAACTCCCTGGGGGGGCCAGCCCATATACTAAATCGGAGCCGTGAAATTTCGCCGATATTCTTACTTTTAATAAAGTGAGAATATCATCTTTAGTTTTTGCTAATCATACGTTTTAGCTTAGGCATTTCAGCACACATGAAGAAAACTGGTAGGTGAAAATACCTTTGGCCTTGTTCATTTTTATGCCCAAAGCTCATTCGGGTACTTAGATGTACTCGCGTGGGTGGAGGGCGGTGGACAAGGTTTAGTTTTAAGTGTAATACATTTTGGCGACTGACAAAAGTAGTGAACCAATAGTGAACCACGATACAAGTTCCACATGTGTGTGTGTGGTTAGGATGTGGGATTTGTATCGTTTATTAACAATCTTAACTTACTATAATATTACAAAATAATTATCATGAATAAATTGAAAAATTTTTACATTAGATAATTGAATAGAATACAAAAATGAAATGTATTACTTTAGCATAATGTTCACTATTATTTGTCAGTCGATTTCAGCAAAAAGGTATGATTTTATTAGAATGTGAAAGTTGAATTGAACTCGGGTGTCGGAGGCGTCCCGGGACGTTCTCTCTAGGTGTAGGCATTTTTGCACCCGGGTGGTTGTATGAGAACCGTGGAGTGAATTTTTGTGAGAATGATTTTTGCCCTTTTTTAAATATAGCGATAGGCAGGCAGGTAGTTTACTTCTGGTGTGATTGAGTTTAGTTTATAAGTAGGCAGGGCCAGAGCAAGCTTTCATGTTTCTCTTCGTATTCTCCTCTAATACGTGAGAAGCTTGTATCTGGGGTTGGGAAACCAAAAATCAAGAGAAAAGATGAAAATGCAATTTAATTAATTTATCAATTAATTAATTTAGCATTCTCTCTTGATTTTTTCAAGGCCAAGCCTTATTAGTTTGTAAGTCGTAGTCGTGGTAGTAGACCCGATTACAAAAATGAAGTATTAAAGTGAAAGTGCAGTGAAGTGAAGTGAAGTGAATTGAAATTAAAAAGTGTTTTGTGCTTGGACATTTGCAAAAATTGTGCAGGTATGCGAGTAGCGATTCAAGGGATCGTTGCTCGTTTACGTGTTACGTTTTTACAAATGTCTGAGCAAACGTAAAATTTTCGCGAGTGATTTTTGTGAGGCTATTGCCGAAGAAAGAAGAGGCTATATGCTGAAGAGCCCCGGCAAAATTTGCCCAGAAGAGGGGAACTACTAATGGCTCTCCATCTTCGGATGGACAGTCATTCTGTCACTATGCTCGCTAATTTGTTTTTTCATTTTTTGTGTTTTTCCTTGAACGGTATGAATAATACCGTCCAGGACGTATTGAACTCGACATTTTACGAGTTCAATACCCAGCTCGTTGAATGGTCAACTCGCGATTTTATTTCCCCTATTTCTTTTTCGTTTATTGCTTTATTGAAATAAATTATTCTTTTCTTATTGATTTGCCCATCAATTATATTTCATGTTTTTATTTTAATTATGTTCTATTTATTTAAAACATACTCTGAGATTGTAATGGTAATTATATTTTCTGTTGTCGGCATTTTTCATTTCAATTGTAATCGAAATTATGATGTTAATTATATTTTCTATTTCAGCATTTTATTGTTGAATCATTATTTTCTCAATTGTTTCTGATATTAGGATGTTAATTCTATTTTCTATTTCAAGATTGTATTGTTTAAATTTTTATTTTATGTTTTCTGTTTTGAATGGTTTCACGTTATTGTATATCTAATCCTAATAATTATGTTTTCCGTTTCAGCATTTTATTGTTGAATTGTTATTTTCTCAATTGTTTCTGATATTAGAATGTTAATTTTATTTTCTATTTCAAGATTGTATTGTTTAAATTTTTATTTTATGTTGTCTGTTTTGAATGGTTTCACGTTCTTATGATTTTAGGGTGGGTCACTAACGTAGCCACCTCCACGTGGTGTGACCTGGTAATTGATATCGTTTTCTAAAGATAACTTTTAGAAAGCAATATCAAGCTAAGAGCTACTATAAAAAGATTGATATATTTTTTAATTGGGAAACAATAGTTTAAATTCAGAAAAGTATTTTCGAGATTGCAATATTACCATATAGAAAGTACAACTATAGTAACTGTATAATTCCTAAAAAAGGAACGTGTATGATTTCTAACTAATTACAAATGACTCCTTCTTTTCGAAGTCTGTTGAAAAGAAAATTAAAAGAAAATCACAAAATATGAAATTTAGAAAGAACGAAGTTGTTTGATACGCAATGGTAGAAAGAAATCACCCCTGGCGAAGATGTTTCAAGCAGAGACGTTGTACATTGGAAAGGTCGTAAATTTCTTTATCCGTGACTCTGGTCAGGCGCCAGATCTCGCCCTTGTCCAAGAACACATAATTTCTGCTTTTCATTTGATAGAAATTCGCTACGTTGTCTAACAAATATTTTTCTTATAACAATTTTCGAGAGGAATTCATTATTAAATGAAAGTAAAAATTTGCATAAATGGAGGGTGGATGGGATGAGGTAGGGCGGATCTCCAAACCGCAGCAACCTCCTCGTGGTGAGACCTGGGCAATCGTTATTATTTGATGACTAATTAATAACTGTATCATTATTTCTATGGTACATTTATTAATTATGCAGCAAATAATACGAGCGAATTGGCTGCGAAATTTATGCTTTTTTTCTATTTAATTTCTGTTATATATTTTTCAGGAACTATGCCTAGTCAATTTGCTCCTCGCACTATGCTTCCCCATAGACACCAAAGATCTCACCACTTTATCTAAGCGAAAAATTACTTCGATACCAACAACAGTAACTAACGAAAATACTTACTTACAGATATCTGTAGTCAATAACTACAAATATCTGTAGTCATTGATACCGACATGTTAAATCGAAGAAGTCACGCCACCTTGCATAAAATGAATGAACACTTATCTTCCGATAAATACAATCTCTCCGGGAAATGTATTGCTGATTGTAAACACTGAAAATAATATTTAAAAATTATGATTTATTATCTGATGTTTCAGATGCTTGAAAGCAATTTCTAATTGAATTCATTTTAAATGGTATGATCATCATTTTATTGAAAATGTGCCAACAGTTTAAAAATGTATTTATATATATTTGGTTATGATATCCTTTAGGGTTATATTAAGAACATATATTAAGAATATAAATTGTTTCAGTTATTATCAACTATTAATACGAATTGTAACAACTGAAAACATTATTTGAACACAATGACATCAATTATAAAGCTTCATGCTGTTTCGGGGGCTATGGATGAATCCCCTCCTTGTTACATCCTACAGGTTGACGAATTAAGAATACTATTAGATTGTGGATGGGACGAAAACTTTGACCAAGAATTTATAAAAGAATTAAAACGGTATATATACTTTATTATTTCACATAATTCATGATTATGAAATCTTCTAAAAGTAATACAATCGTGTAATATCTGTATATAACTTTTCAGACACGTCCATCAAATAGATGCAGTACTATTATCATATCCAGATCCACTGCATCTAGGCGCCTTACCCTATTTAGTTGGAAAATGTGGTTTGAATTGTCCTATATATGCAACTATTCCTGTATATAAAATGGGACAAATGTTTATGTACGATATGTATCAGGTATATGAATACAACAAATTTCACTAACATATAATTTAACAACATCACAACTAATAATTTTATTTTCTATTATAGTCTCGCCATAATATGGAAGATTTTGATCTTTTCACCCTTGACGATGTCGACGCAGCATTCGATAAAATTGTCCAATTAAAATATAATCAAAGCATATCAATGAAAGGAAAAGGGTATGGAGTTACTCTAACACCTCTACCAGCTGGTCACATGATAGGTGGTACTATTTGGAAGATTGTAAAAGTTGGAGAGGAAGACATAATATATGCTGTCGACTTTAATCATAAAAAGGAACGGCATTTGAATGGTTGCGAATTAGAGCGACTACAAAGACCATCTTTGTTGATAACAGATGCTTTTAATGCCACGTATCAACAAGCTCGACGTAGAACTAGAGACGAAAAATTAATGAGTATGTAAATTAAACATCAAATTCATTTATTGATTTTATCAATAATACTTAATAATATTTTGCAGCCAATATCTTACAAACACTCCGCGGTGGAGGCAATGTTTTGGTCAGTGTAGACACCGCCGGTCGTGTATTAGAATTGGCACATATGTTGGACCAACTTTGGCGGAATAAAGAATCTGGCTTACTTGCGTACTCATTAGCTCTTTTAAATAACGTCAGTTATAATGTTGTAGAGTTTGCTAAATCACAGATAGAATGGATGAGTGATAAATTAATGAGGAGTTTTGAGGGAGCTAGAAACAATCCATTTCAATTCAAACATCTACAATTATGTCATAGTATGGCAGAACTAAACCAAGTTCCTAGCCCAAAGGTAAAAATTATTAGTTTCTCAATATTAGAATTCAAAATAATTTTATATATGTGATTTTTGAAAGGTTGTACTTGCAAGCACTCCAGACATGGAATGTGGTTTCTCAAGAGAATTATTTTTGCAATGGTGTGGCAATTCTCAGAACAGTATTATAATAACTAGTAGAACTTCACCAGGTACACTCGCCAGAGATTTAGTCGAAAAAGGAGGCAACAGAAATATTACATTGGAAGTAAGAAGAAGAATTAAATTAGAAGGGCTTGAGTTGGAAGAATATCAGAGAAAAGAAAAATTAAAACAAGAGCAGTTAAAACAAGAACAAATGTATTTACATTACACAATAATTCGTTATTAAAATTGATTAATATCTGAAATAACATTGACATTAACATTTTTAGGGAAACTGCTGACGTGAGTTCAGAATCTGAAGATGAAATAGAAGTTGGCGGAGGAAGAGGAAAACACGATTTACTTGTTAAACAAGAAAGCAAACCAGGTTTCTTTAAACAAAGTAAAAAACAACATCCAATGTTTCCATTTGTAGAAGAAAAAATTAAAATAGACGAATATGGAGAAATTATAAGGTATTATTTTTATGACATCAATATTACTAGTATATTCTATCTCGTTTTATTTATTGCAGACCAGAAGATTATAAAATAGCCGAGACTATGCCAGAAGTAGATGATAATAAAGAAAATTTGGAAACAAAACCAGAGGATGCTGCTCATCATCCAGAAGTACCTAATGACATTCCAACAAAATGCATTCAGGTTACACGTACAATGACAGTCAATGCATCTGTAACATACATAGATTTTGAGGGAAGATCTGATGGAGAGTCATTACAAAAAATTCTAGCACAATTACGACCTCGAAGAGTTGTATTAGTTAGGGGATCTCAAAAAGATACAGAAGTCTTAGCTCAACAAGCACAAAGTGCAGGTGCACGTGTATTTATTCCGGGTAGAGGAGAGACATTAGATGCTACTACAGAAACGCACATATACCAGGTAATACAGAGTAATTTTCTCTCTACGAAAAGCAAAGACTGTGCCGTTAAGTACTGTAGGTCCGTTTTCTTTTCACAAATATACATTCATTCTTAGGTGCGTTTGACCGACGCTCTTGTTAGTGGTTTGAACTTTTCAAAAGGAAAAGGTGATTCTGAAGTAGCATGGATTGATGCAATGATAACAGCCCGTGATCAAGTGTGCCGGGATGCTGTTGCTGGTACTGAGCCAGATAATGTGATAGATCAAAGCGACAAGATACTTACTTTAGAACCATTACCCTTGAATGAGGTATTTTACAAAATGAAAATACTATTATCAAGGACATAAATGTATATAATGTTATATTTCATAGGTTCCTGGGCACCAAACAACGTTTATAAATGAATTAAAATTATCTGATTTTAAGCAGATATTGAATAAAAGTAATATCCCTTCTGAATTCAGTGGAGGAGTTCTGTGGTGTTGCAATAATACTATTGCGGTTAGGAGGGTTTGTATTGTTGTATAAACATTGAGTTATTCCTATTTAACATAGTAAAAGTATATCAATATAGTTTCCTGTGATTCCTTTTTTAGCATGAGGCTGGGAAAGTAATATTAGAAGGTTGCATTTCTGAAGATTATTATAAAGTGCGGGAATTATTGTATGAACAATATGCAATTGTGTAAAATATTATGTATCTTTATTCTATAAATTTAATATAAAAACTCCTATTAATTATATTCCATAATATACTATCTTAAAATTTTGTAAAATTCAAGGCCTAAAATGATTATAGTTCACACTTAAGTATTTAATAAATAAAACTAAAAGATGTTCAATAAATGTATTATAACCGATAGTTTAAAAAACTGGCGGGAAAAGGTGTTAACCTAACTTTTTTTTTTAAATAGTTATCAAACACGACAGCTTATTCTTAATAAACATTCATATTATTAAAGTAATAATTATTAAAATAATGTTTTTAATATCAACACAACGTATGAAATAAAACTACGGTAAATGGTAAATCTATATAACCAATGATTTATTACCAAAAATTATATACATGATATTGTGAGTGAGGTAATAACAATAAACGACATATTTCATTTAAAGAATCTCATTAAATATCAATATCTTTTACGAGTATATAACTAAGTTAATATTAAAACTTGGTTAATTTTTTTAATATTTTTATTTCAGAGTTGTATTTACATTACAAACCAGAACCAGTGATAAATTATTGAAATAATGAGAAAATACTATCAAGCTGCACTTGCAATAACTGCTATAGTGAGTCTAGTGTCATTATTATTTTACAGACATGAATATAATAAGCTAAGATACGTTTTGGAAGTTTTTAACTATTTTGGTAAACCAAACCAAAAAGGTATTGAAATAAATTGTACAAACAATGTACCAATATTTACAAAATCTAACATGAAGTTTGAAGAACCACTTTCTTCTTGGCAAAGATTAGATGATGATTTATATGTTTATTCTGCATACAATGTTCATAAAAATGAAATTCAAGTAATAGGTTTTGGTTCATCAAATAGCATTAAAGACATGCAATGTGTTATATTCTTTGAAGATGAAATTGAGCCAATTTTAGGAAGCTTTACACATCTTCCAATTAATAATAATTTACGTACAATAAATACTGATATAAATGGATATCATTTCTATTGTGCATACACTCAGAATAAAATACCAGTAGGAATAACATTTCTTACTAAATCAAATACAGATCTTAATAACACACCTATATTGCCAGTTAAAAGTGAATCACACAATTCAAATTATACTAACATTGGAATGTGTGTATCACCACCATTAGTAAAACCAATGCAGCTATCAGAAATGATTAGTTTCATAAATTTTCATGATATAATTGGAGCAGACAATTTCATAGTATATGATTTTGGTATTCCAAATCAGTTTAACAGCAACCTAAAAGAATTATCTCAATCTCAAAATCCATACTGGAGGTTTACATACACAGTAGTGCCATGGAATTTTCCTTTTCCTGGAACTGATCTTACTGTAATAAAAGATCTTATACAAGCTGACTGTCTATATCGTACATATAATAAAGTTATGTATGTTATTACATTGTCTTGGGAGGAATACATAGTTTTAAGATATCATCATTCCCTTGTAGATTTAATGGTAGATTATAAAAAATCTAGATTGAAAGCTGATCGTTACAAATTAAAAACTTTAATCTTCTGCACACAACAACCAGATAGTGCAAATTTAAAAAATTCAACGTTTTTGATATTTAACAAGATGTATTTTGATCCAAGTATCCCAGACAATCAATCAGTATACATATACAATGCACATGAAACGTTTAAACAGCGTAATATTTATACCCGGGAAATTGGAAAAGACTTAGTTACATTAAATCGATATACACATTGTTTTGGAAGATTAAATTCAGATACAAACAATAAAGACACTTCAATTTTGAAATTTGCTGAAGACATGTTTAAGAAATTTATGATAGTAAGCAATCTTTTACAAAGCAATAAGAAATGATTATTTTTTTTTAAACATAAGATTAGTATGTATAGGTTCAAGTTAACTGTAAGATAATTCAAAAGTCTGATCCATTTACATGTATTATGAGACTTCGGTATAAGAATGTAATTGTACAATGTAATATGTATAAAAATTTGTTACGATTAAATACTTACCATTTTGATATTTATGAATTTATGACTTATGTATAAATACAAGTATTTCTTATTTTCTAATATTATCTTTTAGATTACATATTTTCTCGTGATTAATATCGTTTTATATTTCAAACATTTTATTCTTAAAAAAAGGATGCAAAACATAATCGTGATTTGTTTGGCACAATTGTTAAACAAAATTTTATATTAAACTTTAATACGAATATTAATTGCATGTACATAGAAACTGCATACAGTAAGTACATGTAAACAAAGGATTGAACTAATGATTTTATTATAAATTGTACAAAGGCCCTGTGATTTTTAATAGTAATACTATTTTGTATTACTGTAGAAGAATCAATATTATATAATGAAAACATTGAATACTCAAAATAGAAATTAAAAACAATAAAGCAAGTGCCATTTAATTATGAAAAATATATTGAAACGTTAATTTTAAATATTTCAATGTATATTTAAGAATCATCTATTCCATACATCACTTAAACTCCCATAACTAATAATTCAGAACAAATATTTATTTCAGTCGTTGAATTATTGTTGTGTTTTGTAAACCAGCTTCTTCAATAGTTTTATTTTCTACAAGCTCTTTAGTAGGGTAAGCTGTCAATAAACTGAACTCTCTCATAGCATATTGAGGTCTCATACTAAAATATAATTAACTAAGGAATAATATATATTTTTAAAAAATTGAAATTGTATGTTAATATGAATATTATTTGAAAAAGGATACGCTATTATGTACTGTCTCAGGTCATTGATGGTATGAGTTAAGTTTAATTGAACTTTCACGCTAGTTCCATCGGCAAGACGAATTTGTAACGTTGTAACTGGTTTCGATTCATCTAAATTTAATTGTTTTTTTGCTTGTGATTCATTTGCTGTTTGATCAGCAAGATCTGCCGGTATTGTCATACCAACTGTTGCTGGAGAAGGACTGCAAATTGATTAAAGCATGTAAAAATATAGTTTAAAAGAAGTAATATACATATTTGGGGAAACATATACCTTCCTAACATATGTCCTTTTCCAGTAAACACTTTTACTTTAGCTTTCGGAGGAACATACGTCTCATGACGATGATCTTCCATATCAAGCCGAGCTTCGGTCCCCTGAATTTGTTGACGTATTTCTGCCGGTATTTCACCGCGTTTCACAGTTTCAAGAAATTCTCTACTTTCTGGATCAGTATACAATCTAAGATCAGAATCATTTATAGTAAAGCCATCTTTCCAAAGTTTTAAAGTGATGAGACCAGAATTTGTTTGTTGATGATTAGAGGATGTAGCGGTAACAACTGAAACAAAGAATAAACTATATTAATATCATGAACCTTATTACAATACAAAGATTAAATATTATCTATAACATACTTTCAGTATCAGAACTAGTTTGACCTAATTTATATCCAGTACCACTAAAAGTATTTGGTCTCTGCTGTCCACTTTGTTTTGGTTCTGCAGCAATAGATTGCCTCTGACACGATTTAAACATATCACTAACAATGTCCTTCTTCTTTCCTGGTCCTAAAATTTGCTGTCCACTTCTTTTAGAACCACCAGCATAAAAGGCTTGCCCTTCTTCTTCCTCTGGACTACTTTCTCTGTCCTTAAGATCACTAAGCATTGCAATATTAGACTTTGGTGTTGATTTATCTTTCCCTGATTTTCGTTCCATTTCTGATGACTTTGCACCTTCTACAACTTTTTCTGATATATCTCTGTAATCTTCTTCTGATGTACTTTCAGTAGCTTCATTAATCAATGGTGGTTCATCATTTTCATAGAAACTGGCAAGAGCAACCTGAAATAATAATCCATAGACATAAATAAGAAATGTAATCAATCTTATTTTTAGGTATACTGACATTGAAAATCTTCCTAACTTTAAACATCTAAGAATTGTAACTACATCATAATGTTATAATATATACATATATATGGCTCTAGAACTTTAATTAATACATAATAATTTAGTACTTTAAAAGTAATCATAGCCTGTATCAAAACATACAGAAATTACGCACTTAAATATTAAAATTAATTACTTTTAAGGTTATAAAACTAATGTAAAAACAAATAGATAAGCATATTGTTTAACAAATGTTATATTAAAATAAGATTTAGAAGAAATATGAGAAATATGCTATCTCACCTCGAGCTGCCAAGCAGATGACTCGAGGTAAAATCGTGCTCGTTCAGGTTCAACACCAGTTACATCTGTAAATTGTGAAACCAACTCTTCGTGGCTCGCCATTGAAAGCAAGTATTAAGTCACTGAAAATGTATTATAGCTAATACCTGCCACTTGTGGCTTTGATACTTTTTTTTCAAATAATTTTCTTTGTTCGGTTATTCAACTTTACGTCAATTTCTTCAATTTACCTGTCATTCCTTCCACTTCTATGGAACTGAACCGGATATATATACATACAGCGGAATGAATGCGCGAAATGTTTGAATATAAACTATTTTCAACTTTGTGCTAATTTTTTTGTAACATTATAACTTGTATAAATATATCGTATTAAAACTGTTTTATTTTAATATCTTTTATTGTGATTTCTTTGAGGATTTATAATATTATGGAATATGACAAAACAATGCCGTACCGCATTTTATCCAATGAGCATGATGCACAGTAGTCTTTAGGGGTATACAGATGATAAAATTTTTGGAAGTTAATTCAAGGTTTTTATCAGCATTTTGAATGACGGCTCTATATAGAGGACATTCGTAAACCTCGGTTATGTCCTTTTTATTTCGTAAACATTTGAACCGTATAGGCAACATATTTTGCCACAGTTCATTTGTAAAACTTTCAATTAATTTATTTGTTTCAAAATCCCATCGAGCACCGCATAAATGCAGCCCGTGTATGAAATATACATCAGGATCTTCTGTATTAGTTCCTTTTATCTGAACTTGAAAATCAAATTCAATTTCTTCAATAGGTATATCATATGTTTTAGAAAAAGTTAATGAAACTGCAGAAAGAAACATTTTACAATGGAATAATGCATCAAAGCAAATATTATGAGGACATCCCTCGTTCATCCATTTTTTGATAAAAATTGCATGCTTTAACAAATTGTCAATATAATATGCCAAATTTCCTGTAATAAGATTGTTTTCAATATTTATCCAACTGTGTGGTATCTTATTTTTGTACAGTTCTTCTACTAGTTCTTTTAAAGAATCAGAGAATGGAAGATAGCCACTTAATGCTAATTTTAAACTGTTCAATGTTTTAGTTATAGTTTCTAAACTGTATTTTAGTAACTTCATTTCACAGAAAAGTACCCTTCCCAAGGGTTCATCTAATAGAGAAGTATGTATTTGTATCTCATTGATTTCAGTTAAATTAGATAGCTTATCATTAATATTACTAATCAAAGTAAATATTTGATTTTCAGATGACTGTTCATTTGATGCAGAATCAAGAAGATTCATAGAAGAAATAGATGAGAAAAATTCTTGGACCATTGTGGTATGTTGAATAACAAGACCATTCCTGTTTGATCCAAAAACTTCAGGTAATAAATCCAATGGTATTTTTTCAATGTGTTTAATTATATATTCATATTCACACCTTTGTGGTATTAATTTCTCTATTTCATTTTCATAGGCATACTGATGATTTTTTATTATGCTAGAATTGCAGTAGTCATTTAAAAGATGTTGTAGACATCTCTTATCAAAATCATTTTCAACCTTTCCACCATAGTTGCATTCTCCAATAAAATACAGAAGGATATTGAAAGGTACATAATCAGTATTATTTATTAAATTTTGCAGTTGCATAATAGATAATTCAAGGTCGGTATTATCAAAATTATATGGTATGTTCCAACCTTGGGTTTTAAAATTTTTTCTTTCTTTTATAACAACATGAAAAAGACATAGGCTGAAAAGAAGTTTTGAAAATGCTATATCTTTCCCAGGGCAACTTTCAAAAAATTCTTTATTTGCTATGGGTTCAGAATGATATATGTTCAGTAATGTTTCTTTCATGCTTAAAGGAGAATCATATGCTATTTTTATACTATCTTGTAAAACAGGAACTGGAAATTCTTTAGTGGAATAACTAGATAACCATAGTCTAAAATCTAATGATACGTTAGAAATACTCCAATTTGCATAGATGTTTTCAAGCTGAATCATCCAATGAGGCACTAAATGACAATTTTCCAATAGCACCCAACCTCCTTTCTTTTGAGCTTTTTGAATAAGAACTTCAGCTTTTTCTTCTTGCCCTCTGCTCATAGATAAAGATATGAACTTTGAAAAGCAGCCCTTTTTCTTTGCATATGCAGAAATGAGTGACTGTGGTGCAGAACAAGCTGGTAGAATGAATAAAAGCGGAGTTAAACAACTGGATTCTGTATATGCTTGAGATATTTTAATTTGTGGAGAGTAACTTTTTGTATTTCCCAAAATATTTTCTATCAGTTGCATTATTTCTATTATAATTTTATCTGGTCGTAAAATTTTTATGAGTATCAATTTTTGAAACAAAGATAATTTTGTGATCCAAGGTTCTGGTAATAAATGGTTTTGCAATGGTTCAGAAGAGTAGTATTGCTTCCAGGCTTTATCATTATCATAAAAACTATTTACAAGACCATGAAAAGCAAACAATGTTTTACTGAGATTACAAATATTTATCCAGATATCAGATGATAACCAATCAGGAGTTACATAATCAGGAGTTATGTGATTGAAGTTTGATGATGTAAAGTACTTAATTTCTTCTTCTGTTGTTTGCTGATCATCTAATAAGATTTTACAGCATAATAAGAATGAATATACTATTTTATGTTTTTCTAATAAAGATTTACAGATGCTTATATGAAGATTCTTAGTAAACGAACTTTTCAGAAATTTTAATCGTTTTTCGAGAATAATACTTCTATTTGAAGTTTCAATTGATCTTCTGTATAATTGCATAAACCACGAGAAAGAGAAATGGTACATGTGATTTAGGTGTGATAAGTCATTAAGTGTATCAAACAGATTTGCACAGTACTTAACTAATTGCACATAAGCGCATCGAGATTTCTTTATTTTTAAAGACATTGTTTTAGCTACTTCTTGCTTTTTGATTATGTTTAAAGAAAGATTTTTCGAAAAATCTAAACTTTTTATAGCATTTTCATCATCAAGAATATTTGTGGTTGTTGAAGACAAAGTGATTAGAATATGATCTTCTTGTTGTTTTAATATTTTCTTATTATCAAGTTCTTCCATAAGCAAAGTTTCAAATTTATCTTGAAGTTCTGGTGTTTCTTTAAACATAATGAAATCAAGAAGTTGGTTTTGAAGCCCTTCACTTGAAATAGAAAAATCAATTACTGTAAGCTTATTGAATATTTCACACGAAAACTGGGGATTAAGCAACCTTGTTGTAATGTATAATCGAAAATCAGTAGAATATTTTATAGTGCTGTAACCAATATCCAGATATAACGATTCTCCATTGCTGTAAGTTCTTTTTGAAAGAAAAGGGTACAATGATATTTCTAACTCTTCTCCGACGTTTTCAATTAATGTAGGAATACCATTTTCAATATTGTATTGAAGAGAAGATATGTAATCAGAATCATTGAGTTTGATGATTTTAAGATTATTTTTCTTTTCAATTGTTTTAATCCATTGATTTGCCTGATTTTGTGAATCAATAAACAAGCACCATAATTCAGAATTACTCATAATAATTGCATTTTCAAGTGAAAATCTGTTTTTAGGTAAACCACATAAATACCAATGATTTATTTCGTTTTCTTCTCCAAGTACATTTACTAAGTTATAGTTTTTAGTATATGATATCTCTAAATCTTCTAAATATTGTTTCCAGAATTCCAAAATTTGATCACGAAACATAATGTTACATGATGCCATGTAACTTATTATGCCACATGTTATTATCATATCTCCCACAAGATTATTATAACTTTCTTTAAGATTATCTGCCATCTGCATCCAACGATTCTTTTCACCCCCTAAACTTGTCATTAGATTCTCTGCTTTATAAAGTTTATTAGTACAATCATCTACTTCTTTTTCCAGTTTCACTTTTTGTTGCAATGTTTCTTGAAGACTGTTATTCAGTGCCGTGAGTTTCTTATTCAATGCCAAAAGTATTACACGTTTCTCGTTCAAGAAAATCTCAACTTCGTTGCATTCCTTTTGTGCAGTGAACAATTTTTCTTTTTTGGGTGCAACAGCTTTTGCAACTTCATTGTAAGATACCATTGCACATACCCATTTACATAATCCCTCAGCAGCGCTTGATGCTTTAGCAACAATATGTGGTTTAAAATTGTTATCTGCCATGTATGTTTTTTTAATAACTTGCATGATATTAGATGAAATGTTATCTTTATCGTAATCTTTTAACATCTGTAGAAAATTCATATCACTTAGAATGCGTTTACTTGGACCCCAGTAATCTGTATACTTTTTACCAGTAACTGAATCAATGGCTTTCTCTGGAGGAACACCAAGCATGACACAAACTGCAGCCATTACTAGTTTAATAGCATCAGGAGGATTTTTCATGGCTTTAACAAGCGTAATGTCTGTAGGTTTTAATGTGTTTAATGCAGCAACAGCATCTTCTAGAATTGGAATTGCTATAGCAAGATCAGCTTCACATTCCATCTTTAATCTTCCAGCAATTTCTGCTTTCCTATGTGCGATTTCTTCTTCTTGTTGTACAAGAGCAGTTGCTCTTTCTACACTGATATTTTCATTTTCGACTTCTCTCATAGTATTTATAGTTTTCTGAGCAGATAATTCTAACTGAGGTTTCAATATTGTTAATGTAGCTTTCATCTCTTCAACTTGTTGTGCTGCTAATTCTAATTTTTCTAATCCTACCAAGTATCTGTTTCTCATTGTTACAATGTGTTCTTGTTTCTTTGATATTAGATTAACATATAGTTTCAACATATGTAAAAATGAAGATGATGTTATGTAAATTCTTTTACCACTTTCTTCATAATATTTACTACTCATTTCTTGCACATTGTTATGCAATTTTATGTAAGCTGTTATTATATTTGTTTTCAAATTTTCTTCAGTATTAATACACGAAATATATTTTATACTTATTTGTGTAAGTGTATCTGTTGGCCATACATTGTACCAATTTATTGTACAATACTTTAATAGTTCCGGATATGTGTATAAATGTGACCTAATTGCTTTATGTGTCGAATTAAAACAAATTACAATATGCAGATAGTTTCTACATTGCTCTAGAAAATAATTCATTACAGAATAATTACTTATTTCTGCATTTTTGTTACCACCTTGAGCATGTAAACGTACCATTTCAATAATATCATATTTTTCATTCATGGAAAATAAGTCAGGTATTTCACCTGTTGCCAACAAACTAC